GAACAGATTCATGATAATGTTGATGTTTGTGAAAAAAGGTCAAGGTCTAGGGGTCTGACAGCATCAGAAATACCTAGAACACTTATTAAGAGAAAACTACTGAAGCAGAATCTTTCATTAGAGATTAGAGATTACAGCTTAGAATTCTGCATTTAAAAGGAAACCCAGACTAAGAATAAGATCAATGAAGTTTCTTCCCTAGACAAATTTTGCATGTGGATATTTAGAACTTGTATCACAATCCTATGTGTTATTCTAATGATTCAATTTGTAGAGCCCTTGTTTTTCTGAGAGAATCACTGAATACATTGAATGTAAGTACCAGATACTCTGGCATATCAGCAAGTCACAAGCAGTGAGAAAACCGCTTTCCCTAGTTTAGGCCAAATCCTACAGCATCCTGAATGTGACTCTTAGCACATTTCACTGCATTGGTCTATCCATGTGTTTCTCTCCCTACCCCTTGACTGAAAGATCTTCTAATGTAAAACCTAATCTTCTTCATTTTTATATTTAAGCTCTGAGCACTGTGTTGAGCCAATTGCAGAGGAACAATAAATGCTCATTGAATAGAACTAAAACTTTGAAGCTGAAGAAACTTGCCTTAGCCATGAATCTTACAGGAGAGCCAATCCTAAAGCAGCAGCTGCAGTGAGTAATCATTGAGCCATCTATAAGACGACAAATGGTTGATCTGGCAGAAGTGTAGGGTTAAGGCTAGAAACAAAACAAGGCAGTGCCGAAAAGGAACATACAGTCTGTATCTATTGTAAATTCTAGTTCAAAGAAAAACACAAAGTAACAGAATAAAAACAACTTCAAGAAGTCAAGCATTCAGCAATGTGTATTAAGCCTCCACTACATGCCAGGTATTCTGCTAGATCCTGGGGATGTAGCATAAAATGAAAGAACATGCCTGCCCTTATGAAGCTAATGGTCACATACACATGTTAAGGTGCTACGAAGAAAATATTGAAGGAGTCGTGAGAAAGTGTGATAGAAAGTGTGTATATGTATGTGTGTATGTGTGGCCATCAGGATGTAGTTGGAGGAAGGTAAGGAAGGCATTTCTGAGACAATGATATATAAACAGAATCCTGGAAGGATAAGTCGGTGTTAATCAAGAGAAGAATATTCTTGGCAGATAAAATGTATGCCATAGTCTGATTGTAATATTTTGAAATCCTAACCCTCAATGTGATGCTACCAGGAGGTAGAGCCTTTGGGAGTGACTAGGTCATGAGAGCAGAGGTCTCAGGAAAGGGATTAGTGTCCTTACAAAAAGACCCAAGAGAGACCCCCCTCACAATTTCCACCACATCAGAGCACAGAGAGAAGGCACCATCTGTGAATGAGAAAGCAGGCCCTTAACCTATCAGTGTCTTAACTTTGAACTTCTCATTCCCCAGAAGTGTGAAAAACAAATTTCTGTTGTTTATAAGAGCTACCCAGTTTATGGCATTTTTAAATAGCAGCCCCAATGAACTAAAACAATACTCAAAATCCCTGACAGCAAAAGGCTTGTCACTTCAGAGGAAGTTTTTAATATTTTAGTCATTAGAAGAGTAAATGTTAATAATTAATAGTTCCAAAACAGGTCACCACTATTTCCTAAGGCTGGATATTTGCAAAATCTGCCTACTCTGAGCTACCAGAAAAACCAGAAGCTTCAGGATGCCCCTTCCATCCCTTGACTGCTCACTACAGTGATGGGTGACATTTTTAACCTCATCAATTCCATAGGAAAAGTCACTAGATTGGCACCTCCATGGTCTGTGGAAGGATTTTTGAGTATTCTCAGTTAAACAAAATGTTTTACAAAATAAATTTTTAAGCATAAGAGGAATTTTTGTAGCCAAACTGTATTTTCTCAAAACATAATGACTTATACAGAAGGCTTGTAAAAATCACTCTTTTATATTTGTGAAAAGTCATACTGCATTTCAATGTCAAGAATGCTGGCATGGTGGATACCAGAAGCCAGAGTTGCATTTCTTGGTGGCTTTTTTTCTTTTTTTTGGCCTGAATTTTTAAGCCATATTGGCCCTCATATTATCTGATAAATCTAATTTTCTTCTCAGAATGGATTTTCTGGTAGAATTTCATCTTTTTCCTATCAGTACACACATTATCTTATCGTGATTATTTTATACCTACCATTATTTCCAAGGTGCTGAATGTCATCAAGAAACATAAGTGATAGGACAGATTGGGGTTCTTCAAGAGCTTTATACTCATTGTATAAAAGTAATTTTGTATGCAATGTTTGTTCTTTGATTAGGAAAGGACCACTGCGCTCTTATTTTGATATATGTGATATGTGCAATGTTTACCCACTAGTTGTTTCAGCCTAGGAACAATTTTTATGACCAACTAACAAAAACTCTATAACAATATTCATAATGTAAATGCTGATATACCATTATTTATACTTCAGTTCTATAGCAAAAATTGGTTCTATGATAAATAAACTCTCATTATCCAATCATTAGTCTACTGTAGCCACAATGACAAGTCATGCCACAGGCAATACAATATCACTAATGAAATGAATTAATTTATCCTTTTCAAAGGGACATTGGGGAATTGGAAATGTATGTTTTATAGTAGCACTCCAAATAGAAAATATACCTAATAATTCAACATTTTGGGCAGATATTTTCAACTCCATCAAGTTTATTTTATTCAACAAATATTTATTGAATGCTTTCTATGCTCCAGGTACTTTTCTAGGTGGTGAAACTAAATTCTACTGGGGGAAGTCAGAGGTTAAACAAGTAAAAAAAAAAAAATAGACAAAACTAAGCTAGATTTTGATAACTGCTCTGAAGAGAGAGGAAAAAAAAACAAATAAATAAACAAAAAGCCAAACAAACAAAACAAACTTAGGTTAATAAAGAGTCATCAGAAGGCTGTACTTCATAAGGTGTCCAGAAAACACGACGCTGATTCACAGACCATTTTCTACTATAAAAGTCATGATGATCAATTTAGTTTGGACCTTAAGAAATTGCTTATAATAAACATTTTTCACCCATGGAAACGGCAATTTCATATGGGTCAATCAGATAGCTGATAACAATAAGAACTAATAGTAGATATAATTTTAAGATTAGAATTTTTATTTTACATTTTCGTTTTCAAGTTTTTGATTGCTCTGTGTTTGAATATTTAAGATTCAGCATCTTTTTTTCAGACCTTACATCTAGAGACAGAATGAGAATCCTATCATCCCCCACAGGTAAAATAGATGCATAAGCAATATTTCCAGTCCATAAATAGAGCTTCTAAAGACAGGATATCTGAAGACGAGGCCTTCCAGGATAGAGAAAGGGCCTTGGTAGAGCTTCTGTAATCAGTGCGATATCAGAGCACTAGCTCAAGGAATTGTATGCACCAATGGGAACCTGAGGTCTTGAAGCCAGTGCTTCCTTCGGACTCAATTCTGCCGGTAATGTAACCTGGAACATGTTCTTTATCCTCTCCCAGCCTCAGGTTTTGTTTTTTGCTTTTTGTTTTTAAATCTTTTAAATGAAAATAATTACTCTACCTTTCAGGGTTGTTACAGGTATTATAGACACAGAGGAGTAACACAATATGCACATCAACTAGTGGTAAAAGAAATTCTACAATACACACTTGGGCTGCAAAAGTACAATGGATAAGCAAAGAATAAGAAATAGCACTTTTGAAAGACGTAGGAGATTCCACTTACTTCTACACTCAAAGAAATTATGTTCCAGTCGGAGAGATGTGTGTGTTCATCCTCCAGTTAGTCTCAGGTGCAATGCATCTCTTGTGGTGTAAGCATCCTGCCATCTCACATTATTTATACAGTGTTTTAAAATAAGCATTTCTCTTTA